CGCCTCTCCCGTCGGCCCCCGCCTCCTCCTCTGTCGCCTAGCAACGGGGCCCGGCAGGGAGCTCCAAGACGGAATATGGACCCGGTGTTTGCGCTGGGCGGGGGCGCGGTGCTAACTGTTCCACGGGACAGTCCCTCCCCACCCCGGGAGAAGGAGACAGTGCCCGCCCACCGCGAGCTGGAGGGTCTGCCCCTAAGTCAGGAGTGGTCAAACTCCAACTCTCTCTTCTGTTAGGCTGAAGGCTCTCGGCAAGGGGTCCGTCGGAGCGTGCCATACTCTACCTCCTCAGATCCCGAGCCCTTCCCTACCCCACGCTGGGTGCCTGCCTGTGCCCACCCACTCACCCTGGGGATGCCTTTAGCGCCCGGCTGCAAATCCGGGTGGGCGAAGTGATCAAGAGTCAACTCGAGAATGGAATTCCATGCCCCTTCCCTGCAACTGCGATTGGCACCCTTTTTGGTCAAGTCATTTATGGTCCTCTTTCATTCCAAATAGTGGCACGGTTCGCTGTGATACCGAATTATCCAATCTGGAAACTGCGGAGGGCCCTTCAGGGAGGTCCTAGAACCTCACACCTGACCTAAAATAAAAATTAGAGGTTTTGCAGCCACACCTGGGATTGTATAGAAGTAGCCCCCAAAAGTCTGAGACGGTAGATGTGAGAATTAGATAATTATGATTACTCATCATAAGAACTTCAGATATAGGAGAGTACTTTGAGCGTTTTCTCCTCACGGTAAATAAATAATGAGGGCTTCTGTTATTTGCTGTATCATTTTACTGCATTTTGTGCACCGTCAGCATGTTTTTCAAAATCAAATATTTCCAGTTTGCCTTTGTAAGTACAATGCCCATTTTCATTTACATAAATTTACATAAACTTATGAATTATTTTCATATAATTTTTTATTTGAAGGCTGTTTCTAGGATTTCCAGTGAAACTTCATGATCACTAACATAACAAAGTTGAGATATTAGGAATTTGACCAAAGTCACACAGAACTTGAGGCCTGGTCCTTCTGACTCAACTCTTTCGAAGCACTCCACCTCCTTGTCTTGCAGTTGGCTAACAACGCTAGAAATCTATACAGAGAAACTAATAGAGGCTAAAATGTCAGGGAAGATAAAGCCCTTATACTAAGGTATTTAACTACTATATTAATAAGAAACCAAATGTGCATTAGTTACAAAATTCCAGTTATATCTACTACTATACATTTAAAGTTATAAGAACAGTTACATTTAAATAGCTTAAAAACACTTCATAGTAGTTGTCTGTAATCCAGGAAAATTCTGTGGAATTGAGGGGAGAGATGCTGCCAAAAACTTAGAAGTATGAGCAGTTAATTCGTAAAACAGCAGTGAAAAAAATATGCTAAGGAAGGTAGAAAGAAATAAAATGTATATTGTAAATTAATCTTTATTCAGTGTTAGGTGGTAAATCTTGAACACCTAATTACTAAACATACTATTAATTACTAAAATGTACTATTTTATATCCAGTTATTGTCTTGCTTAATCCATCTAAGAAAGTTTGTAGGCAAAAATATATTGTCATCCTGTAAAAGCTAGGTACATTCATTAACACGGATTTCCTTTGGGCCTTGAAAATTAAACCAAGGACTACAAATAGCTCAGGTTTCAAATTTGGGAATACTGTATGTTTTTCTCCAGATCATAATTAAAATGCTATAGCATTCATAGCTTGATCAAATGAAGAAGGAAAAAAGAATTCAAATGACTCCGAACTGCAACTGCAAAAATATCCAACTTACAGTAAATATCTAACTTTTGCAAGTACTGTAGGGCTTGCTGCTTTATGCTTGGTTTACACACCATCTGTGGGGTTTGAGGATGTTGGTAGTAACCTTAGTGTTTTTTTTTCCTTCAAATCATAATTATTCTGTCCACAAGTATAAATCACTAATGTTCTGTCTTGTCCTTATCAGTCCTCATTCCATGTCAAAATTGTAGTTGTAGGCTAGACAGCTAGAATACAAAGCCACTGAAGCAGACCACATTCCTGAAAAGAATCTTAGAGGATGTTGCCCATGTTAGAGAACATTTAATGACCTGACATTAAGAAGCCCTGTCTCAGTTAAAGCTTAAAAGCTATAAACAATAAAAGATTACTTGAATTTATGTTTTCCAATCTCTAAAAGAAAAGAAAAAAAAAGAGAAATTTGTTGGAAGGGGAATACAAGCAAAGATGAGAACCTGTCAGAAACCCTACTCTGGCAGGGCAGGTAGAACCATAAATCTTTCAAAAAGGGAGTTTGTAAACATCCACAAATTGATGTGTGTGTATATGAATTTGTGTGTGTGTGTATTATATATATAAATACATATGGCTTTTTCTAGTGATTTAATCTGAGAACATAATTATAAAAATCCCAAAAGCTAGTCATGATATTCATTAAAGATTTGTTATAATAGCAAAAAAATAAAAATAAGTTAAATATCCATCAACAGGGAAGCTAGTTAAGTAGATACATGTACAATGGGTTACTTCACAGATATTAAAATAATGAGGATCTATATTAATATGGAAGGTTGTCAGAAACATGCCTGTAGGAAACAAGGTAAGAATAGTATCATACCAAGTCTATACATTGTTGGTGAGCATGCAAAAAATATATAGAAGATAGAAATATGGTTATTAAATGTTATTAGTAATCTCTAGTTAGTGGAGCTATTATGGAAGGAATTGGTAAGTGACATGGAAAAGAAGAATGGAAGTAAAACAAGAAAAAAGTTTATTTTGTTGACAAAGGTTGATCACACCTAAAAGCAGGGCCTGGGATTGACCACGCACTGGGTTACAACTCCTTTTATAGGCTTTTACAGCTTTAATCTCATTCAAGTGGTTACATTTTATTCTCTCAGTTCACATTACTGATAACAAATCATGGTCACAAGACAGTTAACTTTCAACCCAGATGTAGTAAATCTTTGTAGTTAGAGGAGTTTAACTTTAAGATTCACCTAGCTATCGATCCTAGCCCATAGGAAGGGGGAGGTGTTCAGGGCTGAGAAAGCAAATGTTAACAATGGTTCTTTTCATCTTGACACTTTTATAACCATGTGGTTTACAGAATTTTGGAGCTCAGGGTCTTGATGTGCCCTGTTATCTCAGGATAAGACCAAATGCCTCATTCAACGGTTAGTACCTCCAGTGTCTGTTAATTCTGAATTCAACAAAGCAGATTGCTGTTAGAGTCAGCAGAAGCCATTTTATTTTGTGACATTTTGTAAGTTTTGCTATTTACAAAAGTTTTCTCTATCAGGGTTTTTGGTAACATGTATTTTCTCTGTTCTCTGAAGTTTAATTTTTTAATTTGTTCTTCTAAACAGAGAAGGAATGCATTATATTATTATTTTATATCTCTTTGGTAAAACTATGCATGCATGTGGACCAATTGCTCTCCCTAAGATTAGAGACAACTGAAGTTTATAAGAATGGTCCCAACCTTGTTGGAGAATTTTTATAGAGGTGAATGTGAACTCTTAAATGTCTGCCAGAAGACATAAACAGACATTTCCCAAAGAGTATGTGCAGATGGCATACAAGCACGTGAAAACATGTTCAACATCATTATCCAACAAGAAAATGAAAATTATGAGATATCAGAATATCTTACCATATTTTCCCCCTCAAAATGGCTTTTTTTTAAGTGATAACACAAAATGCTGGTGAGGATGTGAAGAATCCAGATAAGTCATGTTTTGGGGGTAGGATTGTAAAATAATACAGCCAATCTAGCCAATAGGCAGTTCTCTGCAAAACCTAAACATGTGCTTACCATATGAACCAGAAAATGTACTCCTAGACATTTATTCCTCAAGAAATGAAAACTTATGTTCACACAAAAATCTATATATGAATGCTCATAGCAGCTTTATTCGTAATAACCAAATCTGGAAAGAACCCAATATTTTTCAACTGATGAATGGTTAACAAATGGTGGTACATCCATACTATGGAATACTACTCGGTAAACAAACCGAATCAACTTCCCATGCATTCAACAACTGGGATGGGGCTCAGGGGAATTATGTTGTAGAATAAAAATGTATGATTTTATTTTTTAAAATATTCTTGAAATAGAGCTGGGGTTGTAATTAAGTGGTAGAGCACTTACCAAACATGTGTGAGATCCTGGACTTAATCCCCAGAACCAAACAAATATTCTTGAAATAAAATATAGAAACAGTGTATATTAATGGTTGTCAAAGGTTAGGTATGAGCAGAAAGAGTAGGTGTGGCCACAAATGATTAGCAAGAAAGGGTCTTCTTTATGGTACACTTCTATGTCATGATTGCAGGAGTGGTTATATAAAATTGTATACAACTACAGAGAGAAGTGCAAACAAAGCTAGTGGGATCTAAGTGTCAGGGTTGTTACTGACATCTTTATTTATTTGTTTTGACATTGAGTTATAGTTATTTAAGTTGTTACCATTGGGGATAACTGGGTGAAATGTACATGGAACTTCCCTGTATATGTTCCCATGAAACCGTAATTGTTTTAAAAGTAATTCTTTAAAGGGTTTGCTAATGAGGTCAACTAGGAAGTACCCCAGAGAATAAGATGAACTTGAGTGTGAAGAGATTTTATATGATGCTTTAATATCCTGCAGAAGGCACTTGGTTTAATATTCAAGGAAACATATTTAAATATAGTCCCTTATTGTATGAAAATATCAATTGCTCCATGGTCTCCATTAAAAATGCTTGAAAGAAGGATTTAATATAAGGGATTTATAAGCATATTTCTCTGGCTATAAATATCTAAAATGATTGGCCTCTTCT